GTGTGCAGGCCCTGCCCCCCCAGCCTCTGGTTTAGGAGGCCCATTAATGCTGATGCCAAGGGCCCAGCACATCCCTCTCTGGCCCCGGGAGGTGGGGTCCAGCACGGGTGCTGCTCACCCAGGAGGGTACCTGCCTGCGTGTCGCTTGCACACGAGCTGGCCTCACCCCTCTCCCCTCACCATCTGTCACCGGCTCAGGGCCTTTCCTTTGTTGTTTTTGGCAATAAACTGGGTTTCCCGTGCTCAGAAGGCCAGAGGAGCCCCGGCCCTGGAGAGAGTGCTCGGCTACCACGTCTGGTACTTTCCGGAAAACACCACCAACCTCACGGAGACCGTGACCACCACCCGCCAGCCGCTGGAGCTGACGCTGGGCGCCCAGGCCTACCGGGTGTCGGTGGTGGCCTATAACTCGCTGGGCCAGGGTCCGGCCGCCGCCCTGCGCATCCCGGCCGCCGCCGAGGAGGGTGAGTCCCGCGTCACCGCCTGCCGAGATGCCGCCGTCCAGGGGGCCAGGGGCCGCCCGTGGCTGCCTCTCAGTGAGGGTCACAGCGGAGGAGAGGCTGCTGGTGGGAGGAGCGGCGTCTGCTGACCAATGAGCCCCTGGAGGTCGCGTCCTTCGGGCGCAGCCTGTGATGAGTCAGACTCATCAATCGCGTGACGCAGAGGCCCGGCCGCGCGTTCCACGTGCAGCTTGTTCTGTCCGAGGCGTGGGCGCTGGCGGAGCCTGCATGCGGGCACAGTGCCAGGCGTGTGCTCCATGCCTGGCTCTCCCGAGGCCCCCGAGTCCTGGGCACTGACCGCGTGCTCGCCCGCCTCGCTGCTCGCTCCCGTTCCCCCTTCGCCTCCACTGAGACCCCGCGGGCGCCTGGGGCTCGCCGTGGAGGCTGCGGCTGTGAGCCAGGTGCGGGGAGAGCCCCGGATTCGGGGTGGACTCTGGCTCAGCTCCTGCCCCGCCTGCCTCGTCCAGGCTCCATGTCCTTCTACTACACTGGCTCTTCCTCAGAGGGACCTGGGCGTGACAGCACCTGGCCCTGCCCCGAACAAACAGCTGGGCATCTCAGGCCACGTGGGAGGTGCCGG